CGGTTGCATCACTTGTTTTTCCTGGGTTTTGTTCCTCTCTCTTTTGTTGTTTTCCTTTTCATTACAAGTTATTATTAGTAGTATTAGTATTATTTTATTTCAAGTATTAAACTGTTCTTATCTCAACCGATGAGTTTTCTTACTTTCGCTCTTCTGATTCTCTCCCCCATCCCACTGGGGCGGGGGGAGGGTGAGTGAGCGGCTGTGCGGTGCTTAGTTGCCAACTGGGTTAAACCACGACAACTTCAAATTTAAAATTCTCAACAACTTCAATAAAAAACAGTTTTGGACACAAATTCAGAAGCAGTATAAGCCAACCTAAATACATTGCTATATTGCCTCTCTTCTTGGTGATGCTCTGGGCAAACCAGTTCAGGGAGCTCAGCCAGCAGAAAACAATAAATTTTATTCTTTCTGATGAGTTTCCTTCTGCTAGTTTAGCTTCCTTGTATCAGCTCATTGGAAGATTAGACAAAAGTCAAAGCTATTGCAACGGAGAGACAGGGATACACACACCTAGATGTGAGAGGCAAAGAGTGGAAGCACCAAGTTACACTGGCTTAAGTTTTTGTGGAACAACAGCTTTTTTGTATAGCTGTTTCCCACTGGAAAGATTTGACTGGTATGGACACAGGGGAAACACACACAGTGATGGGGATCTTGGAAAGCACTGTGGATACTAACTTCTTTAGAGAAAAGTTTTTCACTGCTGGAATTTTATCTACATTTCCACAAGTTATGCAGATATCATTGTGATTTACCTGCAAATAAACAATCTTCTGAAACACATCTTCTCTCATGCTCATCTCCACATCAAAATTAGAAAGCTTTTTGTCAGCTTCTGTACTTGCTAAGCGTACCTCTTTGTCAGGTGAGACATGCTGGGGAAAATCCAACATGCTTCTTTCCACTGTTTAAATAAAAGGCAATGAACACTTACACAGAAGGCTAGAAACACTTTAAGGATAAGGAACTTCCCCCCTTCTGATATTTATAGAAGACATAAGAAACAAGTACCCAAAGCAACTTCACACTTCAGATCAGGCTTGAAGTAAATAACGTGATTACAGATAATGTAAAAATGAATAGGTGAAAGGAGAAAACCACACACCATTATAACAAATAAACATTTTACAGAAACTATCTATTACCCAAGCCTAATTATCTCGTCTTCTTACTTCTACAAAATCAACCGAATGGTGTATAAATATGATAAATAATTTTTGAAAGATGAACGATTTGTAAGTGAAGACTGACATTGTTTCATAGCTGGCACAGATGCTTCCATGTTCGCATTTAAAGTGAAACGCTCTGAATCTTTCAAACAGGCCCATCTGTCCTGAAGTTATTTTTACATTGTTATGAGAACAGTGTCTAATCCCCCTCTTCTGTGTTTAAGGAGAAACAATAAGGCAAACACAGAAGATGCTGTTTATGTATTCTGAACTTCTAGAGATCAGAACCTGAGTAATACTACTTTTTTAGAATACACTTTTGAGATTAAATAAATCCTTGCTTATTAAAGGAATATTGCATCTTATAATGACATTGAATAGAAATGCTAAAATAGAAATGAATAATTATGATAAACTGATTTAACTTAATTCAAAACCAATTATAATTTCACTACCCTCCACCTCCTCAAAAGCATGTTTTAGAGTAACAACATTTTAGGATGATTTAAGGCTTTGTAATTTTATGTCATCTGAAGTTGTTTTATCAAACCCTGAGATACTCTCAGCCCTTCAGAAACCTTTGGAATGCAAGCAAGGGCATATGGTTCTTCTTGAAGTCCATAGGAAACTTCCCCCCCTGTCCTTATGCCAAGATGTTTCAAAATGATGAAGTGAGTTTTGGCAGCTTCCAAGTGAAATGTAAGGCCTGTTGTCATCTTGTCTTTTCAGATAATAAGTTCCAGTTGTTGGAGTAGGTCTTTCATGTACATGTGAAAGGGACACACAGGCCTTAAAAATCCAAGGTTCTAATGGAAGTCTTGCTGTGGTAATACATCCTTATCATATGCCATGGGCTGTTTTACCGGTAAGTCATGCTAATTTCACACAGCCTGGAAGATTAGCATTAAAAGCTTAAATATGATCCACTACTGCAATAGTATGTAGAGAAAAAAAGTATATCTTGGAAGATGCAAATCTTGGTGGTTATGCTGAGAAGCTGATGGCCACTATTTTCTGAATCAAACACAGATTTTTCTTCTAATTTAATTTAAAGCAGAGAGTTTTATACCTTGGTGAAAAGGCTTACAATAATTATACCAAATACATTGGTACAATTAAACTGAATCTGACAGGAAGCTGTTTGGATGAAGATTACTCAGTCCTTCTGCCAGCATCAATTCCAGTCAATTCACGGGATGTGCCTAAACTGCAATTCTAAGTAATGTGAAAGCCAGACTAATATTACAGTACAATCATTTGAGCTGCAGGCTGCTCTTTTTTGCTAGGGGAAGATTTTGCTCCAAGCCAAGGTGGTTGTTTTCAGCACTTCTGTTGCTACTGCACATTTTTTTAGAGGATTTAAGAGATCTTGACATTTTGTTACACTGACTACTTTTTGAGAGTCATGCAGCCACCATCTGATAGGTTTTTCAAAACAAGACACGTTTTTATTTTTTCCACCTCCTCTGACTGACAATTATTAACAAATTAACTGAATGACCTGTGTTTGACCATTAAACTCCATCCATGTATTGGCACGTCTAGATTCAGAACAATCTAGAGGTGATTGCATGACCAACACCTCTCCCTGGATTCTTCAAGGCCTTGCAGGCCGTAATATGAAAGTAAGCAAGTAAAACAGTCCTCTTTCAAAAAAGCATTCAAAAATTCCCCTATTCTCTACCATCACGTTTTCTCCACTAGGAGCTTATCAGCCTTTCCATTGTTCCATTCAACTTGCTTGTCTCAGATTCTGCAGTCTCTGAAAAAATCACTGCTCATCAGGTTTGAATGTACTATGCATAGCACAGATGCCGTAGTCTACACTGTTGCACATTGTCCCCTAGTGGTTGTACACAGTTGGAAAAGAAAATGTAACCATGTAGAGTTTCACATGCAAAAAGAAAACGGGTGACCAGTGCAGTTCTCTGGATGCATCAGAGATCAACAGCACAGTTTCGCTAATCATTTTTGTCTCTAGAATAAAGCAGCAGAACTTTGTAGCTGACAACATTACATATTGCTGAGAGGTCCTGAAAGATTATTACAACCAGAGGACCCTTGAGAGGCCTCTACACATTCTACACAAGAGCAGCACGGATCAGAATTGTATCTTTTCTGTTTCTTTATGTGCAGATGGAATGCCCTATGGAAAGAATCACAGAAAACGTACACTAACCTGTGTATTCCACTTCTATATCTGCCAAGGCCCGTACAGTATTTTCATGTGTTACTTCTCCAATATCAAGCATCCCAACACTGTCATATACATGCTTTGTCTTCCTGATTAGTTCTTCTGTTCTTGTTCTAATTTGCTCTGGTGACAGGTTCCATCTCAAAAGGTTTTGGCCTGATGCTATGTATGAAGAAGCCTTGAGCTGGCTAGTAATTTCTGCTCCTAATGTCATTCTCAACACAAGCCGTGGCCCAACGGACCTGAAAGTATAAAAATGATCATTGCATAGCAAGATTCTAGTTCAAGAGGTAGCTTATAGTAAACATTAAAAAAAAGGCAACAGACCTTTAATAATTACAGAATATTTTTAGAAGCAAGAACAAAGTCTTTTTTAGAGCCATAGTTTGTCCAGCAGGACCATACACAGCCATTACCATTATCAATTAAGTCTAATTTTAAACAAATCAGAGGTCTGTCTTCTACCTGTTCCATCTAGAGGATGACTAAGTGCGGACAGGGATTAAAAACTTTGGTATTGACAAAACCAGACAGATTAAGTTACTATTCAATCTTCTAAGAAAAACAGAATTACAGTTACTGAAACTCCACAGAAACAGACAGTATTTGCATTTCTGAGATAAGGAATAAAACCCACATAGTGATTTGTAGATTATGAAGACTGAGAACTGCAAAGATGTACAAAACAAGACACGAAAAAGTCATTTGGTCATGTTCATTATAACAAATAATTTTATATTTATATGGGATGTCTGCCACATAATCAGCCATGGGAGGAAAACTTCTAGTTGTTATTCACTTGAAAATTTATTCCTTTAATTGTTGTGGATTTTAAATAGACAGTTGCACTCTATTGCCAGAAGAGGTACATGAGTTTACTGTAATTTATGCACTATTAATCCTGACTATATAAATCAACTATATTTCAGCTTTAGCTAGCAGAAAAGTTTACATACGTAACTGATCTTAGTGTGCTGTGCAATCAATGGCTGCCTTTTCAATAATCTTTTTGAAAAAAACACCAAAACCAAAACAAACCAAAAACCAAAAACAAACCCCCCAAAATCCCAAAACCTAAACGTGACTTGCAGCAATGAATCCAAATATAAGTTAATAAGATACTGGCTTCAGAAATACAGGCTTCTACCCTCCCACCCCAACAAACCAACACTCAAGTTGGTTCTATAAAGGAGAAGGATACAGCCTCAGGTGACTGACTGAGGTGGGGCTACTGGAAACCCATACAGTCAACAAGATGTCCACCTGGCAACTATATTAATAGCTCAGTTATATATGAAGTAGTTGCTGAGGAAGATAATAATTTGATAGTAATTAAAAGACAGCTTGCATTCAAGGAGTAAAACTTGCTTCAGTGTTTAGTATCATAGGAGGCTCATAGGAGCATCATAGGAGGATCTCTTGCTGGCAGAGACCTACTATCTGCCTCCCTATTTCAGTCACATAATTAAAAAAAAGATAAATCACATGTTGTTATGGTAATAATGACAACTTAAAATTTTCAACCATAACTAAAGAAATACAAGAACACACACAGAGAGCTTGCTACGAAAAGGGATGTTTACTTCACACTATTTTACATTAAATGCCTTTTTCTCTTAATGCTAGCCACTGTACCTGTATTAATTTTATTGCAAAACCAGTCTGGTATGTGCATAAGTGCTCAGATAGGTTTTGGCATACAATGTAGGGAGCATGCATAAAAGGATAGGCAATTTTAGCCTGAAGGAAAAACAAAGCAGAAGAGTGAAATGCCAACAATCTGAAAAGAGCCGCATGCAGGGCTTCTGTTGGAAGGCCAAGACTTTTTGTTAAAAGTCTCACTCATCTATAAGAGGAATTCTCTAGAAATAGCCTAGCCAAAATTCTTTTTATGCAAGACAAAAATGAAAAACAACACTTTACACATTATGTTGAGAAATTTTTTTTCCTTCTTGCCACAGTTTCTTCAAATCCTCCCATACCAGTGTAGGCAAGATGTTTACTCTTCCCTTCTACTGGCATACAGAAACATCAAAGTCCAGCATATTGATGACTTAACTCTGAAAATGAAGCCTGAATAAAGAATATTCCTTCCATCTCTGTTCTTTCTCTCTGATACTAACTCAGTTCTGACATTAATGCCTTACTAGCTTCTCCACTGGACTACTGAAACTTTGAATCTCAGTTAGAAGTTTATGATAAGTGAAGCTGCTTTCATGAAAACAAAAGGTTAAGTATTAGCATTCTCAGAATGCATTAGTTTCCCATCCCCCAAACCCACTGAATTCTACCCTGAATCTACAGATCCATTAAAGAACAGTACTTCATTAAGTCATGAACAGCTTCCCACTGGACTGCCCTATGTCTAGTTTTTCACACACTGCTAGTGCAGCTCCGGTACAACCTCACGGGAGCTGAAGGGGAAGCTCCTCAAAAGTAGGTTCAAGGCTCTGAACTGTACTCCACCCCACGCCCGCCAAGAACATCAGAAAGAACATGAAATGTGCCAAATTAAGGTCAAAATAAAAGTAAAATAGAATCAAAGGAAAACAACAGCCTGAACAACATAAAAGCTGACAACTATGCTAAAGTACAGGATATGAAGCAGATATTCTTTTTTAAAGGGAACCTACAGTTTCCTGTCATTCATTAGAATCACAGAATAGTTTGGGTTGGAAGGGACCTCTAAAGGTCATCTAGTCCAACCCCCCTGCCGTAGGCAGGGACATCTTCAACTAGATCAGGTTGCTCAGAGCCCCATCCAGCCTGACCCTGAATGTTTCCAGGGATGGGGCATCCACCACCTCTCTGGGCAACCTCTGCCAG